GTACAGTTGTAATAATTTACCGCACAATTCATTTGTAAGTTTCAGTGAAGGATTTGATGCACGCAAAACTGTAATGTGATCCACGAACGCGGTCTTCTATGTATTCCAAACCACATCGGACAGTTTGCGAGCGGGGTCATTCCAAAATTGATGAGTGGTAAACGGTAAACCAAACATTTTGCAGGTTCAGTAGCCGCGACGTCAAATGTTGTGCCCAAAATCAAGTAGGCAAATGAGCACACAACAAATGAAGCAGTAAGTTTATTGTAAACAGCAAATATGTAGCTTGTACACAAACCGGGGAACAAGCAGGAACGATCAGTATGTAGGAAGGCAGGCAGGCAGAGTCCGGCACACACGTTTCACTTCGTGCGAATGCCGTCAAACCAGAATTCAAACAGTCGGTTAATCGATCAGTCAATCAACCTGACCACAGAATCAGTCAGTTGTCGAACAAAACAGCAAATAAAACAACAAACTCACCCCACAGAACTCCAGTTGACCATGTATGCACACTTTTCCAATAGAACTGAAGGAGCGATAACAACTAAACCTCTGTTCTCATTTCGGTTGCTTAGATGTCCCAGACATCGGTAAGTTGCAAAATAACGGCTGACTAGAGATTGACATGCTATGGGTCTTTACCTTTCTTTACCATTCGATCATCAATTTCATCATGAAAAGTGGATATTATTTTCTATTGAGCACGGAAATACTTTTAGTTTGACTGAATTTAAAATAAATGTGGTGGATTTGCTTAAGGAACCAACTTTAATCACACGGTAACTGGTAATGTCATTAAATGTTCTTTACCCAAACTATTTGAAGATATCTGTTGTACCGGTTGTTATCGTTTTCAATTGTTGAATCACTGGAGTCCAATCCGTGTACGCTACTGTTGTCTTACTTCTCACTTTCCCTTGTATCTTAATATCAATCCGGCTCTGTATGTGACATCTTCCATTTGTCAGCGCGATACCGGCTGGGCATGGGTCATTATGGTCGCCTCATTCATTGTACAATTCCTAATTGATGGAACTATCAGTGGGTTTGGTATTTTCTTTTTGGAAATGCAAAAGGATGAGGCATTTGTTCAAGCCAACTATACTCGAACTATGCTGGCTTTGCCGGGGAACATTCAGCCGGGATTCTTTCTCTGTACTGGTAAGTAATTCTATTCCATATATGTTAAATATCAGGAAGAATAAACACTGAACCAGAAGCTAATAGTCGTGGTTGACACAAACCAAGTGCTCATCCATTCTATTGTGGGTTTGTTATAATCCCCTTCATATCTCAAATCAATGTACTTGGTTCCATTTAACTAAAGTGCCTCTCCAAACACATTCCGACAGCGTGGTTTGATCCCCTCAAAATCTGTTCAAATTGAGTAACTAAGGTTGTCTGATAAAGTTAAGTTGAATTATCTTCGTGCATTTTTATTAGGGTAAGCTATTATTTTTAATTCTTGGGTTTTCGATGAAGGTATTTAGACTGTTTATACATATATATACCATGATTTGTGATTCACGTTTCATTATTTTTAGAGTATCAAGCATGGATTAGCCTATTTGAATGTTCAGAGGCACTAGGCCCTTTTGATGACTTTGGGTGTGGATTCCACTCCTTGGCAGATCGTTGAGTCCCCACTAGTTGAATACATTTTCCATGCATTTCCATCACATTAGATGGAAATGTTTGTGATAAACGTCAAAGAGCAGTGGACAGCTGTTTTGTTCTTTTTCGAACTCTTCATCAGTGCGTACTTTTTGTCCCTGTCGGGACTCGAACCGTGAATATTCAAGCCGGGACTTTAAATCTTTACCCCTGAGCTGCAAGGCCTACGATTATCACCTTGTGCGAACGGCTCAATCAATTTCAGAGGGTCGAGCTTCGATTAGCTCGTTCGATTGTTTAGAGGAACCAGGCACTCTTGAGGATGTTACATATATATGATATTTTTTATTTAAATCTAAGCAGCTAACCACTAAATTATGCAGTCCTTTGGACAACGATTAACCTATTTCTTTCATGGAGAAAATTCTAATTGGACGACACGTTTGTTCGGAAACCTCTTCTTTACAAATTATTCCTCATCATTATCACCGTTGTATAGCCGAATACAGTGAGGCGAACTTCACTGATTACTACCAAACTCATAATGCATACAATATAAGTGCGAATGTTTAGGGAGGATAGGCATTGGGTCTATTTATCGGGACATGAAAGTGAATCTCTATGGTCAACACAGAGTACACAGTCCTACAGTGCATACAAACTATTTCAAGCATTCTGGTCTGATAAGAAGTAACAGCAAGATCGCCACTGCTGTCGGTTTGCTGTCATGACCTTCAGTGTATTCAACCCGAAAGACGATAGGCATCAACTCTACCTAATCGCTCTGTGCATTTCTTCACGTTTCGTCTCCACTTTATCTGCTGGTCTCCACGTGGTTTTCTCCACTCTGCAGCAGCCACTGCGAATGACACGCGGTGCGGTAGGCGACCGTTAAACAAGCAAAACGCGTCCTGACCAACGAAGCCCACTGAGCTGAATTCGATGCGATTGCGTGTTCGAAGCATTCCCAAACACCAGACGATTTACGTCTAGGTTTCTAAGTCACTAAATCCATCCCACCTGGGTCAGACTACGTGAGCATCAATTTTTGAAAACCACAAATTGGTTCATTTTGATACAACATATAAACTTTTTGGTTTTTTATCCGGGTTATTTTGGGTACCAAATAAGAAGTAACTCCCTTTACTTCAAATAACAGTATTGTTTATCATACGCTATCAAAAGGCCTCTTTCTAGTCTCAACAGAAAGTGAAGATTAACGGATTCTGATTAGTTGACAAATCAACCATCCAAGAATTATAAGCAATTCGCCATTATGTGACCATTTTGTCTACTGCATCCTTCATCTATGGACATGCAGTGCGTATTGTGTGGCGGAATCCGATCAGGTAAAAAAGAGCGTAAAAGCAAACTGCAGAGATATTTTAGTAATGATTAAAAGATAAAAGAAATCAAATGGAGTAGCGCCGTATTTAAAAACTATCAATAGATTTTTCATTTTCAGCTTTGCGCTACCAGTAGCTTTTCAGTGAAACGTAAGCCCAAATTTTTAAGATAAAAAGCTTCAAGTTCCTCTCTACCTGATAATAGCCAGTGCCATGTCTGGGGCGGTACTATAAGTGAATAACTGACCGCAGTCCTATTTTCGGTTAAAAGGGTACACATTCATGACATAGAAATGGTTTCCGGTTCTCGGGCACCTGCGGTTTATGAAACGATTGGAACTTTCTAAACAAACACACTCAAATGTAAATTACAGTTAGGTCCTGATCCGAAGCTATATCATATATAATCACTAGACAGTATCGGTACCCTTCTAACGAAGACGACCTGCTGCTCAGTGAGGTGTGGTTTGTTTGAAAGACCTTAGCCTCATCACTCGAGATAATGTTCAGATATAATTCACCATGTGATTATACGCTCCACTTTGTTAACGGTGATCTATTTTTTCTACATACATGAATGATGATATGTGGTGCATGGTGAGAAAATATAGCTCACTTTTCAAACAGTACAAATCAAATCTTGGAATTATATTTAGCAGAAATAATACTGGGTTTGGTGTCTGGATTGAAGTTAATGAATGTGAACCAACTGCCGATTTATAGCCTGGTCCATGTGATGCAGTGTAATGTAATGGAAGTGAATTGTTTAGAATGAACATTTCCATTGAACATTTGCAGTCCTAAAGCAGCATGGATTTTAAATTACTAAACCTGATTATCCTGATTAGGTTTCACTTAATGACATAATTACACTGGCCCCTAGGTTACAAGTTGATTGTTTGTTTTAATTTATCCATAGTGGTCGTGACATTCTTAGCTGAATCAGTGCTCCGAAAAATATCACCCCAAATTTAAAGAACGTGTCCAAAATTTTATCCTCATCCATGGACGTTTTTCGAATCTTATTATTCCGACAGTCAAGAAAATACGTGTTGCGTAATGCAATATTTCTAGAACGCAATGAAAAGGATATATCGTTATGAACACTTATTATTGTTTTGCTCACCTCTTATTTGTTTCTCTGCCTTCAGAAAGGTTATGTAGAGGTCACTTCGTTGTGGATAGAACAGATGCGAGACGATAATCTACGATGCGCTGTCTTGAAACCTTTCATGAACACTTTTTCACGTAGAAGAGATCGTAGACTTCAGGATAGCGTAATCATCACACAATGTACTGTTTTACGCTTGGTCACCATACCGTGGAACGTTTTGGATATAAGAATGGTTTCTTGATAAAAGAATCTAAACTCCTCATTTGAAAAGTTTGTGTTTTTATTATCTTGAAATCTAAGGCCTTATTTTTATCCTGATTTTTCACCAATAGCAGGAATCAGGTTTGTAACTGACACTTCATTCAATAATTTTTTAAATGATGAAACGTGTTTGGTACACTAGACAACTCCAAGTGTGATCATGAGAAAATGCGAGTGAGTGTAAGAGTCTTCTGGTTAGGTTGGGACATTACACCTTTCCAGTGTTAAACAAATGTATACTGGACATTTTAATTCAGAATTTATGTCTGATCCTCTTTGTCCTTTGCAAAAGGTTCGCATCGATTTATTGCTTCTCTGCTAAACATTCTTTCTTCGCACTGTCAAAGGCTGCCCATCTACTTCAATCTACTTTGGTTCCGTATAGACAGTTCGTTATTTTTACGAATAGACTAAATTGTCTCATTAAATGGATTCCTGACTTAAGCAAACCATAGGACTCTCAATGGTATTGGAAGAAGCAACGTAACATTTGTAAGCCCAAATGGAACGATGCGCAGGAATTGTAGTATCTAGAATTTTTCACCGTACGACGACTGGATTTGCCGAAAAAACTGAACATGAACCCATTCAATTCGATCGATTCGGCAAGATCAATGGAAGCATCCAATTATTGTGTAGTGAACTGTCGGTTAGCAATTAGCCAAAATTAGAGAGTCAGTAGGGAATGAACTACTCGTTTGTTTCCTTGAGAAACGCTTGCGTATGGAACACAAAGAACGTGCGTGATAATTAACTCCTTTGCTTTACTAGACCAAGTACATACCGAATTATTTGATACTATCTGAGCGTCAATTATACATATACATAAATAAATATGGAGAGAGAGAAATTGTCTAAATCAAAATGATTAAACTTCTCCCACTGGTTTGATGATAGAATGTAACGTCCCTCAGTGCAAAAGTTAAAGTCGTATTGACTTCCTCAATGGTTAACCAACAGCATGCATCTTATCCGGAGATTTTTGTTTATATATATTTTTTCAGTATGTTCAATGCTGCTTGTTTCCAATCGCTCATTTGTATCATTCCGTACTGTGCAATTTCTTCTCAGGTGCCTTTATTAGTCCACTCATTCAGAGGTGGGGTTTCCGTATCATGGGAACCATTGGTAGCGCAATGGTTGGGAGCGGTCTAGCAATCGCCAGTTTTCAGCAAAATTTGCACGTATTCAATCTGTTCTATGGAGCTTTAACAGGTAAGTTAACCTTTTGCCATCTAATCTTGATATTGGACAGATTTATGTAAACGTCATTAGGCAAAATAAGATATTAACTCAGTAACTAATAACAGCGCTTCATAATAACTATTATTATAGAAACTATCTTATTACCAACAGGTGTTGAACACTGCAAAAAGGCGATATTGATCATCATTCTATCGCTCCAAATATCTTGTTTTCAAACTTCACCAGCACAGCTTACGTTTCCCCATTCACTTTATCTCATAGCATGCGTCTAATTGATCGCTTTCCTCTTATCGGTAGTTGTACTAAAAAATGGTAGTGAAATAATATTTGAAAATTACGGGAACTTTCTGAAACTTGAATTTCTAGCATTATGTGTTCTACGATAAACTTGTTTATCTCCATGATAGTAATCGAGCATTTGATTCACATATATAGTGAACTTCTTAATGCAAACCGAAAATGAAGCGTGCACTAAACAAATTAGGAAGCACTGGGCACCTAGTTTGACATTGTTGCATCTCATCAGTAGTGCAAATCCATCTCCCCAACTGGGTATGGATTGCACTGTCTGTTTTTTTAGTCAATATGTCAAATATTCTTTATTATTGTAGACACGTAAGCAGTGTACATAATAACGTCAATCGGAAGCCCCAAATCCTGACCTCAAACTCCGTGGAATTTTACTCTGTGCATTTTGATTAAGATACTGAAGCGTTCAGGCATCGGTCATTGGCAGATCTGCAGCACGCGTTTGTGCACTCACGTTGTGAAAAGTTCGGCAGCCCTGGTGGGATTAAAACCATCACATGAGAGTAACTCTATGCCTATGTTTATCTCAGAGAACTAAACGACACAACACTGTGAGCTCGAATCATTTTTATTTGTCAACCCTCTCAGCTTGCGGCAGCAGGATGAAACATCGGGTAACACGTAAGTTGGATGAAACGACAGGACAACTCAAATTCTACCGATATATCTATTTNTATTTCCCCCCCCCCCCAACTCCTGAGAGATACGAACGGTAAAATTCAGGAAGGAATACTTAGCAATCAATATTTTGATTTATTTGACTGAATAGCAATTGTCATATGTTCCCCTTATGTAATGTATGTTAATTAAAATTTTAATTTCACTGTTATGGCAATGGCGAGATGTCATCGTATACTTCATCACAAAATCTTCTGATATAATAAGTACACTCTATGGCAAATACTGATGGAAATCTGTAGGAAATCAATAGAATTGTATAATATCAGCGATATAAACGATCGAATTTGAAACCCATAGTCAATGCTTGAATTCAGGATTTCTTAGCAAAGTTTATAACTGTCATATAATTTATGGTTCACCTTGACATCTCGCAGAACGTTGTTTCTCCCGCGGTTGGTGCGATAGATCTATCTTATTCCGGTCCAGATATACATTCAAATGGTCATTTTGTTTCTTTAGTACTTGAAGGGTAGAAATTTTGTTGGCGTTTCTACGGTAGCATTGTACAGTATGAAAATAATCCACAAGCTGCACACTGTATCAAGGTGAATCTAGATAAAGATGAGAAGTATTTCGATCGATCATGATCCAATGGTATCCACGAGAAATGGTGCGATCTGGTTGTTCATTCGGAGGTAGAAAAACATGTACGGACGGGTACATTTACGTGTAAGGCAAACAGTTGAGATATGCAATGAGATTTTAGTCGTGTGTAGCTGAAGCGGGTCAAAGCATTGTTTCCCTCCTTGCAGACACAAGAGATCGAAAAATGTGCGCTAAATTTCGACAAACATACAGACATCGTATGAAGGCGTGACCAGCACATCAGCATGATAACTCTAATGAGGTCGACGAGGCAGCTTGAAATGATTCCCCGACAACTGGAAATGTTAGTGAGAAAACTAAAAATAGTACCTGAAACTTTGATTTGACATTTATATAACTTGAGTTACGAATGTTATTGAAATACCACTTTTTTCGGGCTATTCTCCTAATAACAGCTTCAAGCTATTTAATAAAGATTTCTATTATATAGGATCAGGGTTCGGAATCCTTTTGGTTTGCGCAGTCGTCTCGGTGAATTTCTATTTTGAACGATTTCGCGGAATCGCTTCAGGGATTGCTATGGCCGGTGCTGGTGTTGGATGTCTCACAGTTCCCGTATTGTTCAGTCGATTGTGTGACCATTTGGGCTGGCGTCGCGGATTGCTCGTTTATAGTGGCTTCTCTTTTCTCTCCGCTCTGTTCTCCGTGCTCACGTTCCGACCATTCGTAGTGGCCGTGATTTCGGATGAGACACTGGAACAGATCCGTGCGAAGTCAAGCAGTGTTTCTTCGCCCTTGGACGTGGAGCAACATCAAGGAAATAGGTGTGAACGAGTACCAGTGGTCATCACAACATCAGACAACACAAAAACGCAAGAGGAATCAAAGAATGTTAACAAGATTGAAGTGATTTCATTATGATCATGTGCTATATCATATTATTATTGTTTATAGGTATCAGATGATCACTGTTTGTTATAAATAACTCATAAATGATGCCCACAAAGCTTCATCGATAACTATTTTCTCACAAACTTATCGCCTGGAATAGTCACAGTTTTTTTATGTACCTCAGAAGAAACTGGCTTCGGTTCGGTGACTTGGCACAATTATTCATGAAGGAGTTGAATAACTGATAAATTTGAGTTCAGCATAACCATACCATTGTGTGGTGTCGTTTACGAATACCATTAAAACAGGGTAAAACATTAGTAACGTTTTAGTCCCCTTTGAATGTATTTGGATCATGTGTCACATTCCACTTTTGTTTTTCCTCATTGATTTAACTTCTAACAGTCAATCGAAGTCTGCGACCTCAGTTAAGTACGGGTAACGCGGTCAAGCTTTCATTCACTCATTTTTGTCGAATGAACAAACGTGCCAATCGGTACTTTGCGGACATCTATCTGGAGGGTGATTTGTAATACATGTGCACGTCCAACGGAGATCCAGACAAATCATCATGGAATTCGGACCTCACATCAGTGTTCGATCAGCGCGTGTATAAACACAACAAATTAGCAACGCCCGTTCACGGTGCAATGTTCTTGGCTCCGATGAGACCGTTAAATTGAACGATTCACCAAAAGGATTTAGTCACAAACTTACTTACCAAGTAGTCTGTAAATACCTATCCTTGTGCATACAGATCAAGTGTTGTTTCAGTACCAACTGAGACCCTAAACGGAACTCCTAAAAACACAAATGGGACACCAACTGGAACAAACTGCTTAATGCGTTGTTGTTTTATTCTGCCAGGTGAAACGACTGAAACACGATTGTGAATAAATTCCAAATTACATTCAGAGTGTTATATTTGAGTGATTATTCATTTGTCCTTGATGAATGACGTTGTTCATTGTTACATTTTGATTTCCCAATTAATCAACCAATGAGAAAGAATTAAATGGCATATTTAACAAGCTCAATGTGACATCTGAATAAACACACAGACAACTAGAAAAAAGATCCATGTAGAAGATGAATAGATACAGGAACACGGCTGTATATAATACACACACGCTCTGACCACTGAATGGTCCGATCACGTAGTCCCCAACTAGAAAGTTGAAAACGACCCAAAGGATTAATTCCGTCATTCATTGTTTGTAGGTACTTAGGTTGCGTCACACTATGAAACCGCTGGGCCTCTTCCGACTAGACAGTGCTTTATTAAACATCTCATCCCAAAGAAGTCCGTATGA